GGAGGAGAACTAGAGAATTTGGGTGGGAGGAGAGATATGAATCGTGGGTTGAGGGAGAAAGAGTAAAGTGTATGCAAAAAGAGAGAGAACGTGGTTAGTCAAATTTACTGTGATTATGTGAGAGAGAAAACTAAAAAGGAGAGAGAAAAATATTATTTAGCATATATGGTGCCTTAAATGTAGGATGTAACTATAATTAGATATTTGGCTATAAAGTATAAAAGGTATCTATAGGATATAATATTTTAAAATGGTATTTATTTAAAATAAATAGGGTACTAAGAATTTCTATAGGGTGTAAAAATTCCAATTTATAACACCCACTAGCCCAAAGTTACATTATACACTGTATAGCCAAAAAGTTATTCTAGTGGCTAGCCATCGAACTCACAAGCACCTGTTTGGCCGAAGGCAACACTAACAGTTTTTTTCGCACTTTCCCCATTTAGTTTTGCTTGGATTCTTTCTATATATCTTCTGTTTCCCAATCTTGTAGTATTACTTCAGTAATTTTGTCTTCCTCGCATGACCTCTTTTCGGCTAATTTCTAAAGATGCTCTTTGTCGGCCAAAACTAATAGCCCAAAGAATTACATTATTTTTCATTTGCAAGAATATTGGCTTTTATAATACTCCCATCAAAAACATTGGAAGTATGAATTAAGGAGAATTACATCAATCATCAATGTTGCCAATTGGCAAATTTTGAGAGGGACATACAACTGTTTAAATTATTTTCTTGACAAACTATAATCTTTTTTGGCTTACATGACATCCTCAAATTAGAAAGAAAAGGAAACTTACGAAAAGAAGAATACAATTCTGGTTATAACTTTTTAAATCAGATATGCAATTGGTCATTTGATTTTCAAGTTATGTCTTGGTAAGTGGTAGGGTACAACCGTACAAGGGAGAAAGGTAGTGGAAGGTACATAGAAAATAGGTTGTCACTATTCTTAAAATATACAAAATAGACTCTTATTGTACCATTTATGTACAATAGACTGTCACTATACAAAAAATATACATATAAACTATTACTATACAAAAAATATACAAAATAGATATAATTATACAAAAAATATATATATAATAGATGTAACTATACAAAATATATACAAAAAAACTGTCACTATACAAAAATACATTATACACTCTAAATACACAGTGTGCACACATTACACATACAAAATTGTATATAATTTATATACACTATGTTTACATATTAGAAAATACACATTATATACAATTTTGATACATTGTTCAGACAGATTATACATTCACGATACAAAATACATTTGGGGTACACAAATATATACACTTTAGATACACAAGCACACTCGAGATAGGCTCAATATACATCAAGGATACACTGTCGTACTTAGGATACAATATTTATACATTGCAAAATAAATATTTATATATTGCGCCAGGTAGGGGTTGAACCTACGACCTTCAGCTTAGGAAACAAGCGCTCTATCCACTAAGCTACAGGCGCTTATGTTATCATACTCATTCCTTTCGGCTACTATATGCAATACTTTTGGGCCGAAGGGCCATTTTTTGTAAGTAGGACAAAACATGGGCTATTAAAATTTTGAGGGCTATAGAGGGTAGTTTTCCCGTTATAAAATGGAAGTGATTTTAAACTGAGGCGGATCCAGGATTTAAACTTTAGGGTTCAACCTTTAAGATTCTTAGTGTTGAACGTGTTATAATCTTAAACTTATATATTCAAACCTACCACTTGTTATAATTTTAATGAATTTTATGTTTCACGTCGAAAGTTATTAGTTCAGATGAACCCAGCGCCGTTACTCTACATCCGCACCTGCTTATAAAAAAAGTTGTACCATTCTTAATTGGGCCTCAAACAATCTCAATATATATAGTTGCAAGACGATTTTAACATATCGAGATCAAACTAGGGGTTTTCACGTCTTACCCTAGTGCCTAAAAAAGAACTAACCGAGGTGTCGCGAGAGAGCAGTGGCAAAGCAACATGCTCACAGGGGTCGTCAACTGACCACCCGTAATCGAAAATTGTCATGTTTGAACAAGATCAACAATGGAGATCCCTAAATTTGGAGAAGAGAGATGGAGAGAACAAGAGCGCACATGCAAGCTCTGTATATTGATAAGCAGAAAAATGTTCTGAATAAATATGACAATTGTACATCCACTAACTACTTATAAGAAAGCTAATAGTGTTAACTAACTCCTAATAATAGCTTAACATAATTAACCGACTATACTGCTATTTACAATTATACCCTTGACTAAGTAACACCTTCTTCTACACTCCCCCTCAAGTTGGTAGGTGCAAAGATGTTCAGCACTACCAGCTTGCCTGTCAAGTATTCATTGTATTCTGCTTAATCCTTTTGTCAAAATATTTGCTACGTGATCCTTTGATCCAACATGTTGTGCTTTCACTAGGTTCTCCCTAATAAAGTGACAGTCTATTTCAATATGTTTGGTTCTCTCGTGGTATACTGGATTTGTAGCTATTTGCAAAGCTGCTTTATTATCACAAAACAGATCAATTGGTAATACAACATATACTTCCAACTCCTTCAATAGAACAGTCAACCAAACAATTTCTAAAACTGCGGTTGCCATGCTTCTGTACTCTGCTTCTGCTGAGCTTTTAGAAACTGTGCTTTGTTTCTTGGACTTCCATGATTCTAATGAATCCCCATACTTGATTAGAAATCTTAAAACTGATATTCTTGTATTTGTACAAGGGGCCCAGTCTGCATCACAGTATACAGTGAGTTTATTAGATCTTTTACTGCTGAACAGAACTCCTAAGCCAGGCTCTTTTTTGATTTATCTTTCCACTCGCATGGTTGCTTCCCAATGTGATTTCTTTGGTTGTTGTAAAAACTAACTTAATATTTGTACAACATAAGCAATGTCTGGCCTTGTCAAAGTGAGGTACAACAATTTTTCTATCAGCCTTTGATACTGATTTCTGTCTGCAAGAAGAGGATCATATTTCTTTTCTATCAGTTCATCATACTCCTGTACTATTAATTTCACATTGACTTCCAATGGTGTCCAAGATGGTTTTGCATCTCCCAGGCCCAAATCAGATATAATCTCTAGTGCATATTTCCTTTGATTCACTAGAATACCTTCGCTTGGTCTGCGGAATTCCATTCCTAGGAAAAATTTCAACTCTCCCAAGTCTTTAATTTTGAAAACTTTGTGCAATGACTCATTGTGTCTTGTATCATTTTCAGGTCATTCTCAGTAACTAACATGTTGTCTACATAAACAAGTATCACCAATATACTGTTTCCCTTTTTTCTGATAAAGAGAGAGTGATTAAGACTACTCTCATTGAAGCCTGATTGCAGTAGTGCCTCTGTGAGTTTCAAGTGTCATTGCATGCTCGCTTGTTTTAATCCATACAGGGATTTGAGAAGTCTACATACTAGCTTGGACTCCCTCTGACTTGAGAATCCCTGAGGCAATTCTATATACACCTCATTATGTAAATCACCCTGTAAGAAAGCATTATGCACATCTATTTGAAGAATATGCCAACCTTACATAGCAGCCAAAGACAGAACTGTTCTAACAATGACAATTTTCACCATAGGCGAAAACGTCTTATGATAATCAAGACCTTCAGTTTGACTGTATCCTTTGGCCACTAATCTGGCCTTAAACCTTTCAATCTCCCTATTAGCCTTCAGTTTCACCTTGTACACCCATTTGCACCCAATTTGTGGTTTCCTAGGTGGTAAAGGAACTAACTCCCAAGTTCTGTTGTTTTGCAGAGCTTGAATTTCAGCATTCATAGCATCAACCCATCGACTATCCTTAGAGGCTTCATGAAAAGATTTAGGTTCTGATGTAACTGAGAGAGCACCTAAATAGGTTTGGTATGGGCTGGACAACTGAGTATAAGACACATAATGGGACAGGGAATATGGTTGTTTAGTAGAAGTAGTAGTCACATAATCTGTTAACCGTAAGGGCTGTTTGGTGACTCGTTGAGATCTTCTAAGAGAAGTATCCTATTCAACTAGTAGAGATGCTAAGTGTCACACCTCCTTTTTGCGCGCCCGCCCCGAGGGGTAAGATGCGCAGGTGGAGTTTTTCCAATTTAAGTGACAATATTCGAAATGAGATTATTTATTTAATTCAAAGTCGCCACTTGGGAAAGGTTTGGCTTTTGGTGTCCCAAGTCACCGGTTTATCTTGAATCCCAAATCGAGGAATTTTTAGACTTTTCCAAATGAAGTCTGCGAACCAGAAATTCTAAGTAAGGAATTCTGTTGACCCGAGGGAAGGTGTTAGGCACCCTCGAATCCCGTGGTTCTAGCACGGTCGCTTAAATTGTTATAATGGCTAAATATCTGATCCATGTTGTGACTATATGTGCTTTTATTAAGTTAAAAAAACCGCTTTTATCATTATCATTTATTTTTATAGAATTGCAACGTCGTGAAAATGCATCTCGAAC